TAATAATAATAATATCTCTACTCCTCATTCTAATTACGAGAATTAGCCCATAAGTCGGAGACTTGTGCGGGAGAGGAGGCGGCATATTATTATTACGCGGGCCGCATTTGCGCCCAGGAACGACTTATGTTGGTAGGCCCTAACCACCATTCAGTGCAGGAATGAGGGAAACCTGGAAAACCTCATTAATTAGGGGGGTGGTCAAATGCCAACCGGTGTCAATCTCTCACATTGACCCAAGCCAACATTCTTCCACCCTACCATACCTGCACAGAAAGTGCCAATCCTCCGTACAAGTATAGCTAATCTACGGTCTATCGGCCGCGGGAATCGAACCCGGGCAGAAATTTGCACACGATTATAGGACTGACGCCTTAACCCGTGCGGCTATCGACCGATTACATACATATATAGTTCAGGAAAGGTAGACAAAAAAGACGGAATAAGCGAACTTTTTACTCTGAAATTTTTTTATAGAAAAGTGTAAGTTTTGAGGTCAGAAAGCATATATCACACACTCAACCACCAGTTGTTGATGCATGTTTACAGCGTTTTGAGATACATATTTTCGCGTTTTTTGACCAAAAACTGCCAATATCTCAATGAAGATGCATTTCCTCGAAAGAAAGTTTCATATAGAAGTTGTTCAAAATTAAATTTCCTACAAAATTGCTCCTATGAAAAATTTCGATTTTCCCCTTAGTTTTCTCGTATATTTTTTAAATCGAGTACAAACTATGTGGAAGTTAATGTTTTCCAATTGGAGCCAAAGTAATTCATTTTGAAATAACAAGTAAACTAGGAAAAAAGAAAATTGCGGAAAATTCTTGGAAAATAGTTTTCCGAAGTTTGAATATTTATGAGAATTAAACGTATCATTGTATAGGTTTTCAAGGGTGTATATTACGAATTAATTTTGCGCTTTTTAATACTTTCCAGAAAGAATCGGTTTTCTTCGAATTTTTTTTACTTTAAATACTAAAAAATAAAAATTTGTAATATAATGGAATTGAAAATTTAATTTTTATGACAATAGGAAAGGAATTTTCTGGAACTGCAAAGGTATAATAAAAAAAATTATATCCATACCTATACATTTTTTATTTATTCAGGTATAATTAAAAAAGTTTTTTTATTTATTACTGTTAACAATTTTTTATGGATATCTAAGTTTCTTATGTAAAACTGCGTATTGCTGGTGGTTGAGTTTGTGACATATATTTTCTGACCTCAAATCCTACACTTTTCTATAAAGTAATCCCAGAGTAAAAGAGTTCGCTCATTTTCTCCTTATTTTCCTGGACTAATAATAAAATATAATCCCAGAATTTCAAGCATAATTTTGTTGACTATCAATATTTGCAGTACATCACGTATCAAGTTAAATAACAATAAAATAGTACCTCAACTTAAACTGTATTCATGTCCAAATTTTTCAGTGTAGCTGAATTTTCTTTTATTTTAACAAATAAAAACTCTAGCTAAACTTAGAGAACTCCATTGGTTAGAAATCAGGTCTATCAGCAATTTTTTTCGATATATTTCCGCTTATAGCCTACCCGCTACTCCATTACTTATCTAAAATTTGTGGGTAGATACTACTGATTTATAGAAATCGGATAGAAACCTTAGAATATTGCAGACCGATTTATTTAATAGATTTCGATTTTTTTCTCGCAGTAATCTATATTTTAGTTTTAATATCGGCGAATAGATGGGAAACTATTAATTATTGCGAACAGAAAGAAACTGAAATCTGATACAAAACAGCGGTGTTCTTTCCTTGCTTTACGCTGCGTTGTTAAGAAGTTGATAAATTATTGTTTCCTGTAAATTTCACTGCCTCACAAACTACAATTAATAAGGATAAAATATGGATTATAGATGTAATCTAAAATTGAATTAAACACAAAAGTCTTTCTTGTAGGAACTCAGAATTATCTTTTAATTGTATGAGGAATTGGATCTGGAAAAGAAAATTAGAGGGACACAAGCACGTTGACAGAAAGTAACAAAATCAGATTAAATATTTTGTTATATCATCATATTTTCTATCAAATATTTGAACTTCTGGGGTCCTTGGTCCTTTATAAATAAAACAACAGCTGTTCCGTAGTGGTCTTTGTAACTGACCAGTTACATCCAATACTTCCAAGCGTTTCGCCGTTCTTCACTGCCGGCATCTTCAGTGGTGCCTCTAGAAAGGACCTCAGTCATTTGTAAAACACTTTTAAATCATCGTAGCAAAAAAACAAAATTATAATGTTATTTTTAGTAGTTTATGCAGCAATTTCTTTTCTAGTGATTGTCATTTTTCTTCTTCCCTGATAGAAAATAGAACATTTTTTATTTAAAAACAATGTATTATTATTACAGTACTGAGGAAATGATTTAGGTTTTATTGCAAATTGTAGCAGCATGATAAATATTTGGATACCTTCAAGCCATCAGCAGAATTATCAACTTGACATATTGTCACAGATTGGATAAATATGATTTTATTTACATTAAAGTTTACCACGACCACCCGTATTTTCCAATTTTACACTAATCCGTCACACATGGATAATCTAGTCTTCGCAAAAAGGCAATTTCTCTATTATGATCAAATATAATAATTCAACTGAATAAGCTTTTTTCCCAAAATTGGCAGCCTTCATTGGAGTCTCTAAATTCGTCCTATAATATTTCCAAAACTTCTATTTTGACATTATTTTCTACCAAACACAAAAAAACCGGCGGCAACATGAAGGTGAATACGTCGAATTAATGCCTCCCGCTCTAACTTTGTACACCTCATTTTTGAACTAGTCTCATAAACAGTAATCTAGTGCTGTGAGATCTGGAGATATTGGAGGCCAACTAATAGCACCATCGTGGCCAAGCCAACGTACTGGAAACCTCTCCTTCAAATGTAGCTTGACTGGACGAGCGAAATGTGCAGAAAATTTGTAATTCCGCTAATAACTGGAAAACAAATGAAAATCGCATAACATTTGAGTCTTTTCCTATTATTTTGACTGGTAGAATCCATTTCCTTGAGTTTGGTACGATTCTCCCGACTCACCCTGTATTTATTTATATCTGTACCTACCTAAAGCTACTGTTAAGTCCACTTTTTCACCAACACTTTCGAAGGCCATTCATTACCGGTATAAATTGCTCCCGCTGGATGGCTTATAAGGCAATATACTTTTTTACAATTACCGGTAATCTAAATCAACTATCTGTTGGCGGAAACGGTTAGTCAGCACTGCGTCGGATAGGCTAACATGAAGTCAGAATTCCACTTATATTATAAAGAGCACTCGCGCGAGCGTGCTGCAAAAATAAACACACACAAACCGATACCCTTATTAACTATTAGATCGTGTTTTCTTCAAATGTGGATTATAATTAACAGGGCACTTCCTTCAAATCCGCTGACTCTCTCGTGTTTGCCAGCGCCAAAAAATAAAAGAGTAATTAGTAGACATTTACCTTTGGGTTGTGAAACAGAGCGCTTCCCTTTTGATACTAAATGCCTGTGCTAAGTAGACGTACGTTCTTCACGCTGGAATCGTTCCAGATATAATAAATGAAAAATTGTGTTTTAATGACGTAATTATGAATGGAAAAATTGAATCCATTACTGAAAGGTATAAGGGAAATGAACCATAATCATCAGATTAATGAATGTACCAAGTCCATCTTACTAATTTTACCATATAAAACTGTTTGTAATCGTTATTTCATCAATCATAATTTCTTAATTGTATTTATTATTTATGTTTTCCCCTTTTTTAATAATTTTCATATCCTGCCACTGAACAAGCATTTTTTTTCGAGAGGGGAAGTCCATCATGGTACCTGGACTTATGTTCTATCCCAGGTTATGCGGGATTTTAACCGGCTAAAACCCCTCTCCTGTCTTCAATCTAGGTGTTGGCACCGTCCTTGGACATTCATCAGCACCTAGAGTTTCCCCAATTTTCCTGCCTTCTCTCTTCCATTTCCTTCGTTTCCAACACTGTGGCAATATAATTTCTGACAACCTTCCAGCTTCGGACCCCTCTCAGCATTACGTTGATGATGTTATCCGCAGTAAGGACCACTCCGAGCTCACCATGAAATTCTTCCCTGTCTGTATCCCATCCTGTACATTCAAACACCGAGTGACCTGGGGTATCCCGTTGTCCGCACTCAATGCATTCTTCTCCTTCAGCTTTCCCAATTCTGGAAGTATATTGTTTGAATGACCCATGGCCCGAAAGGAACTGGGTTAAATAATAATCCACCCTTCTGTGACTACACTCGAGCCACACCCTAATATTGGGGATAAGTTTTTTCGTCCATTGTGCCACTCTTATCTCCTCATTCCACCTTTCCTGCCATGTTTCCAGTGTTCTGTCCAATTCCTCCTTGTGCGCATGGACTGAGTTCCCGTCTTCCCTATCAGTGTTGCCAGATGTGGCGATTTATCGCCAATATGGCTACTTTGCAACAGAGAAAGAAACAAAAAAATCATTTGGCGACTGGCGACATATTATGGCTACTTCTCACTCATTCTGGGCGACCTATTGGCTAGAAAATTGTAACCGCGGTCTTATAAATACATAATACTTTTCTTCTTATAAGCCAAAAAAAGATAAAAGTCTGGTGACAAAATTAGTATATTTCATTTTTTATATTGGCAGAGCATATTTGTACGTCAGTCGTCCTTCTCTTCCGTTGCTTGGATTCTAAAATTCTACCATGGAGGATTCTACAATACTACAATTGTAAATTGTCATTGTCATTAGTCATTGTACCCATAATTCTCGTTTTATCATTGAAGGCTAAGGATTAAAGTTTATATATTTTGTGGTCAAGGCCTGTCCTAACAATTATCAAATTAGTAAATTATTATTTTTTTCAAATATTTAAATAATTACGATCTCTTCCCTCCAGACATCATTGAATAATTGTGTATAGCTTTTTATGTGATGTGGTTTTTACAATGGGCAAGGTGCAAGATAAATCGTGTAACCGTGTGTTCGTGTAACCTGGTATACTGTAACACAGATCGTATCAAATTTAATATAATTTTGAATTTAAATGAAAGTCGCGAACTGCATATAAAGGACAATTTAAAAATTTGAAATATTGCAGCCAAAATGTAGCGATACGTGATTCTAATCAAATTCTGATTTGTTTAAATTAGCGATTTAATTGCCTCGTTACTTGCTTTATTATAACCATGAATTAAGTCCCTTAAATTTTTTTTCCGTCGTTTAAATTCTTCTTCTTCTCTAATTATTTTGAAAAGTTGGCGACATATGGCGACTTTGTTTCTCTATTTTAGCTAATATCTGGAAACAGTGCTCCCTATCATACAGACGCTTTCTTTCCTCTATAGTCAGGTCAATTGGCGGGACTCCCGCCACTGAACAAGCTACTGTTATCTCAAACAACGGACCACGTTAGTCACAGCCACAGACCACCTAGACTGGCTTATAGAGCGACTTTGGTGAAAACACTTTGGAGCCTGATTTGGAGCCCAGCGCTCAGTCGTGTCCTAGCATTTGACGTGTACGCATCGCTGTGATTTCGATAATTAGACGTTTTATCATGGGCAAGTGTATTGTAAAACATTGTATAAATAGAAGTGATCGAGTTNTTAATGCCTCCCGCTCTAACTTTGTACACCTCATTTTTGAACTAGTCTCATAAACAGTAATCTAGTGCTGTGAGATCTGGATATATTGGAGGCCAACTAATAGCACCATCGTGGCCAAGCCAACGTACTGGAAACCTCTCCTTCAAATGTAGCTTGACTGGACGAGCGAAATGTGCAGAAAATTTGTAATTCCGCTAATAACTGGAAAACAAATGAAAATCGCATAACAACATTTGAATCTTTTCCTATTATTTTGACTGGTAGAATCCATTTCCTTGAGTTTGGTACGATTCTCCCGACTCACCCTGTATTTATTTATATCTGTACCTACCTAAAGCTACTGTTAAGTCCACTTTTTCACCAACACTTTCGAAGGCCATTCATTACCGGTATAAATTGCTCCCGCTGGATGGCTTATAAGGCAATATACTTTTTTACAATTACCGGTAATCTAAATCAACTATCTGTTGGCGGAAACGGTTAGTCAGCACTGCGTCGGATAGGCTAACATGAAGTCAGAATTCCACTTATATTATAAAGAGCACTCGCGCGAGCGTGCTGCAAAAATAAACACACACAAACCGATACCCTTATTAACTATTAGATCGTGTTTTCTTCAAATGTGGATTATAATTAACAGGGCACTTCCTTCAAATCCGCTGACTCTCTCGTGTTTGCCAGCGCCAAAAAATAAAAGAGTAATTAGTAGACATTTACCTTTGGGTTGTGAAACAGAGCGCTTCCCTTTTGATACTAAATGCCTGTGCTAAGTAGACGTACGTTCTTCACGCTGGAATCGTTCCAGATATAATAAATGAAAAATTGTGTTTTAATGACGTAATTATGAATGGAAAAATTGAATCCATTACTGAAAGGTATAAGGGAAATGAACCATAATCATCAGATTAATGAATGTACCAAGTCCATCTTACTAATTTTACCATATAAAACTGTTTGTAATCGTTATTTCATCAATCATAATTTCTTAATTGTATTTATTATTTATGTTTTCCCCTTTTTTAATAATTTTCATATCCTGCCACTGAACAAGCATTTTTTTTCGAGAGGGGAAGTCCATCATGGTACCTGGACTTATGTTCTATCCCAGGTTATGCGGGATTTTAACCGGCTAAAACCCCTCTCCTGTCTTCAATCTAGGTGTTGGCACCGTCCTTGGACATTCATCAGCACCTAGAGTTTCCCCAATTTTCCTGCCTTCTCTCTTCCATTTCCTTCGTTTCCAACACTGTGGCAATATAATTTCTGACAACCTTCCAGCTTCGGACCCCTCTCAGCATTACGTTGATGATGTTATCCGCAGTAAGGACCACTCCGAGCTCACCATGAAATTCTTCCCTGTCTGTATCCCATCCTGTACATTCAAACACCGAGTGACCTGGGGTATCCCGTTGTCCGCACTCAATGCATTCTTCTCCTTCAGCTTTCCCAATTCTGCAAGTATATTGTTTGAATGACCCATGGCCGAAAGGAACTGGGTTAAATAATAATCCACCCTTCTGTGACTACACTCGAGCCACACCCTAATATTGGGGATAAGTTTTTTCGTCCACTGTGCCACTCTTATCTCTTCATTCCACCTTTCCTGCCATGTTTTCACTGTTCTGTCCAATTCCTCCTTGTGCGCATGGGTTCCCGTCCTCCCTATCAGTGTTGCCAGATGTGGCGATTTATCGCCAATATGGCTGCTTTGCAACAGAGAAAGAGACAAAAAAATCATTTGGCGACTGGCGACATATTATGGCTACTTCTCACTCATTCTGGGCGACTTATTGGCTAGAAAATTGTAACCGCGGTCTTATAATAATACTTTTCTTCTTATAAGCGAAAAAAAGATAAAAGTCTGGTGACAAAATTAGTATTTTTCATTTTTTATATTGGCAGAGCATATTTGTACGTCATTCGTCCTTCTCTTCCGTTGCTTGGATTCTAGAATTCTACCAGGGAGGATTCTACAATACTACAATCGTAAATTGTCATTGTCATTAGTCATTGTATCCATAATTCTCGTTTTATCATTGAAGGCTAGGGATTAAGGTTTATGTGTTTTGTGGTCAAGGCTGTCCCAACAATTACCAAATTAGTAAATTATTATTTTTTTCAAATATTTAAATAACTACGATCTCTTCCCTCCAGACATCATTGAATAATTGTGTATAGCTTTTTGTGTGATGTGGTTTTCACAATGGGCAAGGTGCAAGATAAATCGTGTAACCGTGTATTCGTGTAACCTGGTATACAGTAACACAGATCGTATCAAATTTAATATAATTTTGAATTTAAATGAAAGTCGCGAACTGCATGTAAAGGACCATATAAAAATTTGAAATATTGCAGCCAAAATGCTAATGTAGTGATACGTGATTCTAATCAAATTCTGACTTGTTTAAATAATTAGCGATTTAATTGCCTCGTTACTTAGTTTATTATAACTATGAATTAAGCAACCCTTGTCCCTTAAATTTTTTTCCGTCGTTTAAATTTTTCTTCTTCTCTAATTATTTTCAAAAGTTGGTGACATATGGCGACTTTGTTTCTCTATTTTAGTTACTTGATAAAGCTAATATCTGGGAACAGTGCTCCCTATCATACAGACGCTTTCTTTCCTCTAGTCAGGTCAATTGGTGGGACTCCCGCCACTGAACAAGCTAGTGTTACCTCAAACAACGGACCACGTTAGTCACAGCTGATACACATATGGAAACTGCAATATGCACTGTTGTCAAATCTCATAATTTAAAAGAAAGGTTATCACGAAGAAACCACCCGCATTATGTATTGCTCATTGGCGCATTATTCTCATTCGCCACAAGCCCTATCATCTCACATAAACGGAAATTTAATTATTTTAAATGAGATAAACTATAAAACAATATTTTTGTAACAAAAGCGGGGACGCGCAGTCATTTATTTATTAGTTTTCGGAACGGATGGATCAAAAGTAAGATATTTCAGTCATCATAGATTATCGATAGTTGAGGCTTTCAAGTAGTAGGTCGCCAAAACCGTCCTTCGGGGAAGGCTTCACGGAATTTAGCAATATTTTTAACAAGTTCGCTTAGAGTCAGGGCCATATGGTAGTCATCTGTTGCGTCTGGGAGACGCCATCGTAAAAATCGATATTTTCAATAACGCGCGAAAACCGCGAAAAGAGCGTAGGGGTTCCAAAGTAAAATTAAATCAAATTGTAAATTGATAGTAATTCGAAAAGGGAGTATACCTAAGCAGCTGGGTTTTTCGCCCCGCCCCGTATTTGCTACACGGAGTCGAGAGAGGAAGGCTAGGGTCACTTGTAAGTAAGTTTAGTTTCAGAATTCTTGTATAAATGTAAATTCCAGTCAATTAAATAATTATTAACCTAATTATTAAAGCATCCCGACATTCAGGGTTCTCGCCAATAAGACAAGAACCGAAACTTCTGGACTCAAGAAATGGGCGTGTCAAAGCGAAGTGTGGAATTCGAGAAGGATCTGCAAGAAAGTCAGTTCTTCCTTGAGTTTCACATTGAGCAGTCTAATTATTAACTGTAGAGTCTCGGGCTAATTAATTAAATTTAATAATGGATAAAGTTTTTCCAAATTTTGTATGAAGCGCGCATTCCCTGAATCTCGGCACGCTGTCGTGTTTAAATCAATTAATTAATAATGTTGTTCGAGTCGTTTTGTTGTTATTTTGTTTGTTTGTTTTGTTTAATATTATTAAAACCTTTCCTGGAAGTTTTGGTGTTTTCTTTTGTTTCTCCAACTTCAGTGTCACCCTGTATAGCCAGCCACTGGATTACATTCCACGTAAGCGATGAATGGTAAGTGCTTGGAAGTAATTCTCTGAACATACAACATTTCTAAGTCCCCACGTATTGATTAAAGTATAATGATAATAAACTCCCTTTCGAGAATTAAATAGTAACTCTTGCGAAATCCAAACTCGTTATGGTACTGGTCATAACGAAGATAAATAGATAATCAATTAAAGAAATAACCCTTCAGGTTACATTTTCTTTCTTTATTTTTTTAGGCCACCTGTGGAAAAATTTCAAGACAAGGCTTATTTTTATGAAAATAGTTTTGACTAACCAAAAATCTCACACGGAAGAAAGCAAACAAATACAACACACAAGAAACATTACTTTATTTCGCACACTTTAAAAAGTTATTAATGTTTCGAAAATCTATCTGTTTTCGTCTTCTGAACTTATACTGACTTCGTTTTAGTTAGTTTTTAGGATCCTCTTCCACGGAGTGAAATTTTTGTTTCGCTGAATTAAAGTGGCAGTTTAATTCTTATCCCTTTTACCATCCCGCCATATCATAACAGCTGTGAGGTTTACTGGCAGTAGCGGCTTTTCAAAGGCGACAATACTGAATTTGGCAGAACAGCGGAAGCTAATATCCGTTACTTTTCGAAAGCGTTCGCATCAGGATCGTATTCTGCTTAAATTTAAACTGTTCACGATTTAATTTTGTTGCTATTTTGTTTACTTTGAATTAATTTAGTATGTCTAGCACCGATTGGTTGCTGAAATGACTAAATAAAGAAAAATAGTAAAAAGATGCCGTATTTTGTTTAGAATTTTATAGCTTTTTAATATTACCTGTTTTAATTTCCCTAAATGTGTCTCTGTCCACTTTATGTAGTGACAGTAATATAGTTAGCTAAAGTAGGTCAATGTCGGAGGTTATTTACACTGCGAATCATAAATTAAATACATACACTCCTTAAAAAAATAGTAGTATGTAATTGTTTGTAAAACTTAAAACGATTTAAAACAGTATTTCATATCAATTAGATTTTTTTTAATATGCAGCTAGGTACGTTTTTTTAAACGGCAAAAATAAATTATTTTGAAACATACCTAAATTAATTTTATAGATAATTTGTAAAATATTTACGTATCATCGTTGGTTAATATTTGACAAACCATGTAAAAAAAATATTTTTTTTAAATCAATGGAATGTCTCTATTTTTCGGGGTTTCGTCCCCACTGATGTCAAAGCAATATGGTGACTTTAAAATAACACGTCGCTAAGCCATACGAAACCAATATGTTTTAACATCAACAGTTTAATTGTTAATTTAAAAAAATAACTGGTAACGCTGATTGCGCACTAATAAACTTACCACGCTAATTTCCAGTGTCTCTCTCTTCCCTTAAAAAAAAAAGAATCTCAGATTCAGTTTCAAGGGAACGTTTACTATTACCCCTAAAAATCTAACCTTCACTTAACCTTACAACCTTTGCAAGAACGTTCATCCAGTGTCGGCAGATTTTTTTACGGGAAATAAAAAAAATCCTCCCCTATACAGTCCTTTGAAAATGCTTTGAGAATTAATGTTACCCTTGTTTTTTTTGTATTTATTTTGAAGAGAGAAAACTGCCCTTAAAGATTGCCATAATGTCGCTGTTATATACTGTATCACGTTTTAAAATTATTAATTTCTTAAAAAATCTTAAAAAGTAGGAAGTTTTGACACAGTGCATTATTGTATCGAAGAACAATGGCCAGAATCCTCACAAACTTACTCCGTTACTACGTAGGATTAAGTTCTAGATTGCGTTTCTACGTAACCATAATAAATTTTGAACTAGTGACTCGATACATTAAATAAAGTCCTAGATAGAAAATAGAAATGTCCGGGACTGTTCCAGATAGCGGTTCAATATTGTTTATTGACAGGATTTGTTAGTATCAGGATTTGTGTAGGTCTCCACTTCTACAAAATTTCCGTAAATACGGACATAATTTGTGTATTCGTTTGCATTATACGTACACTCAGAGAAATGTTCATACAAATTTTTAAATGTGAAACGCCAACATCAAGGTATTGATATCCAGTGATTTTAATATTTACGAAATACAAAAAATGTCCTTCCTCGTACTTAAACATTCATTATCTTCCAACGTCAAACGTTTTGTACTTCTATAAAATAGCAAGATATTAAAAATACTTTACTGGTTACACTGAAGGAAAAATCTTGCTTAGAATTAGTAGAAAGCTTTAGTTTTTTTTAAAATATCAAAGATTTGTTGTTATGTACTTTTAGAATACATCATTAATTATTTTATATATACAATATTTAATGCACACCAGCAAATAGTTAAAAGCTTATATCGCGAGTTCTTAAACACAACACAACATTTATTTTAACAGCGTCGTAAAAACATAAATGGTAAAGAAATGGTAACAATTTTGAACAATTTTTGTAGAACAGGATTTTTATAACTCTCTTCAGTCTCTTCTTCTGCAACTTTTATATAAATTTATATAAATCGATTGTTTTTTACGAGTTCTACCAGCTGTTAAAATAAATGACGCGACTTTGAGAACACCCTGTAGAGTAGAATGTCAGCCATTATTGTGCATTATGTGAGAACTATGAAGACAGACGAAATTGATAGTTTATTATCTTAATAACGTTTGGAAAACCACACGATTTAATTACCTGATTAATTGACCTAATCAGAATCAGAACTAAAAATATTAACGCTAAGTAACAAAAATGTCTTTATTGTTGTATTGACAATGATTTTACAATCACTTTTGGCTTGAAGATGTAATATTATGATTCAAATTAATTATTTAATTTAAAGGCATAGTTTTGTAAAAGAAATACTCGTTATGTGGAAAACTTCGAACTCCATCAGTTATATAATAAATATGCTACTTGTGTATTAATTTGTAAGTAGTGAAATCTTTAGAAAATAATTGCTGATTGCTAGTTAACCAACATTTAATATAATATAACACAAACACCAGAACTAACACAAAACAATATTTAAATTTATTATTAATATCTGTATATACTGTATCGCCACGGTAGCACAGTCGGTCGAGAGTGCGGTGGCAAGCATTTCTCGGCTAGGCTTCCTACTCTGGTCCGGGTTCGATCCCCGGTGTCGGCACTGGCAATGTCGATGGATAATGGGTGTTTGTCCGCGTTTTTTCAAGTGTAGCCCCCTTCCGCACAAGCCTTTGGCTTTTGGATT